TAACCCTATTAACCCATTACGTCGACTTAAAAGAAACTGGGCTAGAGACCTTCTCTAACTCATTTTAGCACAAACTTTAGTCTCACAATTTTATTTATTATTCTTTTTTTTTTTTTTGAAGTGGTGTCAGTGGGCTCCTTCTTTATGCACGATATTCATGTGTTGTAACATATTTTTCAGACATTTTTACTTATTGTATTATGTAAACAGATTGTAATATTTTCTTAATAAAAAAAAAAAAAAAAAAAAAAAATGACGCCAGCATCACGTTATGCTGGTGGACTAATCAAAGGCTCTTTTAATCATCACGCCACTTCCGTATCATCATACATGACGCAAGTAGGCTCCTATATAATGGACCTGCTCACTAGCCACTAGGAGTCAGTCAGTCAGTCATGGAGTCAGTTCATAATCAGTTTTAATACAGAGCTTAAGAAGGCACTGCTTGTGTTACTGTTAATACAAGTCGTGACCAACTTGACTCCTGTTCAGTTTAACTTATTATCTATATACTTAATTACTGAGTGTTTGTCTAAATTAATATACCAAGTCATTTATACTTGTTAACATATTCTTCAAAGTGTTGTTTTCTTTCTCTCTCCATCACTACCCGTCGTAATCCCCTTTGGGTGCATGACAATGGGGAATATTTTTTCTTATTAACACATTCAACACCGGCGACGCGTATACGCGTCGTAACGATATTTTTACATTTGGCCACTGACGCGTTTACGCGTCAATTTCTTATATATTTCAATGCCATTTAATTATTGTGGCTTTGATCGTAATTATCTGACATTTGAGGTGGCCATAGGGAAAAATCATAAAAAACAAAAATTATGGTTGGTTTTGGAAATCGGTTATTTTTAGACTGGATTTTCCCTATAATCTTTTTATCATTGGATGCACGTATAAATACTATTTACGTAAATGTCTATTTTTATTTATGTTATTATGTTATAATGTTATAACAATATTATCTGTATTACGTGCTACTATTCAGTTTTCACTATCTATTATCGACAAACCAACAGTCTGTTTACGTTGTTCTTCGTCGCGCATTGTCGGGACTCGTGGCGTTGTTTATGTTTCACAATATTATTCGTACAAAATACTCTTTGGTTTTATGCATATAAATTTACATACAAATTAAAAATGTCGCGTAAAAATTTTCAAACAAATGCACTATCCGACGAACAGTTGTTGGAATTGTTGGATGTATCAGAAAACGAGAATTCTTCAAGTGAATCGGAAACAGATAGCTCTGAAGATAATTCAGAAATGTCATCAGAAGACAATGTACCGGTAAATAATAAGCATTTTAGACCACTAGTTACAGGGGATAAATGGTTCAATAACCCAAAACCATCACAACTGATTATATTTTCTCAAAATTCTGGTTTGAAAGTTCAAACAGCAGGACATAAAGAAATCGATTATTTTAATTTGTTGGTTTAATATTGCGGTCAAAAACTCACAAAGATTTACCGACCTCAGGTTATCAGTCATACTGAGGACGTAGTTATGAGTCTAATGAAAGGAAAATTAAATAATGGCCATTCTTTATATATGGACAACTTTTACAACAGCGTAGATTTAGCTCACAAACTTTTGTTAAAACAAACCTATTGCACCGGTACATTACGAATGAACAGGAAAAATAATCCAAAGGAAGTAACCAGTAAAAAATTGAAAACTGGAGAACTTATTTCAAAATATACAAATGATGGAATATGCGTGTTTAAGTGGAAAGATAAACGGGAAGTATTAGGTTTATCGACTGAATGGAAAGCAGACTTAGAGAATATGAAAAATAGGAAAGGTGACGAGAAAGAAAAGCCAGTGCCTATTATAAATTATAACAAATTTATGTCAGGAGTAGATCGTCAGGATCAGATGTTATTTTATTACCCGTGTGAACGGAAAACCCTTCGTTGGTATAAAAAAGTGTTCATTCATATTACGCAACAGCTACTACTTAATGCATATTTTTTATATTGTAAAAATGAACGGAAAATATCATTTTATTAATTTCGACTAGCCGTCATACGAGAACTATTACAAAAATCTCAAGAACAACCACTGTCATCTACGTTATCTGATAATAAAAATATGCATGCTCCTGAACTTTTACCAAAAAGTGAAAAGTCTTCCAAAGCACAAAGAAAGAGATGCCGTTACTGTGGTGAGATTGGAAATCGTAAAGATACATCTTATTTTTGTTCAGGTTGCAAAGAAAAACCTCCCTTATGTTTAGAACCATGCTTTAAAAAATACCATATGATGTAATGTTATCGTATTAAAATTATTATATTTTATAATTTAATTATATTTTAGTAATACAATAAAAGTTAAATAAAAAATCGTATCCAATTTTTATATGATATTAAATATACCCTATAACACATTATTATTATATATATTGATATTGAGTAAGTACTTTTCATGCAAATATAAATGTAGATTAAATAGGAAAATATTCGAACATTATATGTTTCTTCTCTTTGGCCACTGACGCATAAACGCGTCACTTGCATTTTACACGTGGCGCCTCGGTAAAATTAGACATGACGCGTAAACGCGTCGACGGCAGTACACGTACAATTACCAATGACGCGTATACGCGTCGCCGTCGTTGAATGTGTTAATGTTAAATCGTATGTTGTCAAAGTGTTTTACGTCTTGTGTAAGGTGGCTATGAATAATTTTACATGACTTCTCATTAATATCATCAACAGCTTTACGTTTCACTTGATTACTTACAGTCTGCCTATTTAATGTTTCAACACACATCTTTTTCGTGGTTTTCATGATTTAAAACTTTTTTAATAATTACGTTATTATTTAAATGAATATATGCTTTACAAGTCTTTTTAGTACAGCAATATCGTTCAATATCATTTTTTAAATTTTTATGGAAACGAAATTTATATCCATCGATTACATATATACTACGATTTTTTTCACTTTAAATTTCACTCAAAATCTCAACATTCGACATTAAATTAAATTAAAATAGAACAGCACAGAAAAGCACAGAAAAGCGACAGAACGTTCTTAGCGGTAGTAAAGCGGAGACTAAGGTATACTCATTGATATCTACGTTATACTGGATTATATTTTATCAGTCAAGATTAAATTATCTAGAGTTAAAAAACCCGGGCCGCAACTCGTCTGTACCCAAAATAAACTCTGTCCGCAATTCGGTATTAAACCTTTTTTCGTTGATATCTTTGGGACGAAATTAGTATGCAGTCGATATATCACCCCCCAGAACCTTTTGATATGTATATGTCTTATAGCTGGGGGTCATTCTGTTAATTTGTCTCGACACCGAGAATGTTACCATGACGTCATTGGTGCGTTCACATGTGCGTGTGTGTGCGTCGACCGGTGGGAACCAGTTCCCGGAAATTTGCGATTATACGAACATTATCGAAATCGCGGTGGCTTGTGATCTATTAGTAACATTAGGTACAGCCCGTTGTATAATAAATGTATTGACGATAAAAATAACTCGTTGTAAATTATATAATATAACTAACGTTGGTTTTTCAGTACACACCGTCCTTTATTATCCATCACTAAAAGTATTATAAATGACGATTCTGTAGTTTAAATTAAAAATTTAAATAAAAATTTGGAAAAATGTGTACTCAATAAATAATTGCTGTCTTTGAAAAAAAAAAAATAATTCCTGTCTTTGAAACTTGTTATTTTTTTACATGTGTTAAAAAAGTTACCTACAGTTTAATCCTCGTCTCCGTATCTAACTATATTCAGTAGAAACAAGACATATACATGTTGTACGTGCGAGTGCGGAAAACAATATGCCGCTTACCTCGGCACCTAAAATAGTTGAGTGGACTGTATATTATAAATGACCGGAAAT